CTTCACAACAGGAAGAAGATATGAGACGGTATCCCTATGCTTCAGCCGTGGGAAGCCTTATGTATGCCATGTTGTGTACAAGACCAGATCTCTGTTATGCAGTGGGAGTGGTCAGTCGCTACCAGTCCAACCCAGGATTAGATCATTGGGAGTAAAGTGTATTCTCAAGTATCTTAGGAGAACGAGAAACTATATGTTGGTATATTCCAGATAAGCTTTGTCTCTCACTGGATACACGAATTCTGATTTCTAATCAGATAAAGATAGTCAACGGTTGACATCTGGATCTGTGTTCACTCTTAATGGAGGAGCTGTGGTATGGAGAAGTGTAAAGCAAAAATGTGTTGCTGACTCTACCATGGAAGTTGAATATGTTGCAGCTTGTGAAGCCGCAAAGGAAGCTACATGGCTCAGTTCTTAACTGATCTGAAAGTTGTTCCAGATATGGATAAGTCAATTAAGCTCTACTGTGACAACAGTGGAGCGGTGACTAATTCAAAGGAACCTAGAAGCCATAAGAGTGCGAAACATATAGAAAGGAAATATCACCTGATCAGAGACATTGTGGATAGAGGTGATGTAGCAGTTCTGAAGATCGCGTCGGAAAACAACCTTGCTGACCCATTCACCAAGACATTGCTAATGAATGTATTTGATCGGCACTTAGATGGATTTGGGATTAGAGACATGACACACCTGCTTTAGGACAAGTGGGAGATTATTGGGAATGGTGTCCAAGAAACATGAGATGTAGTAGGATATTTATTATTTAATTAATAAAAGAGTTTATTCATCATTTTATGTGCATATATTTATGAATATTTTATGAATATCAAATGAAAATTCCGTGATTATTTATGTAACCTTAAACATTGTATATAAGTGTTATATACAAGAGGATAATGTTTAAGGATAATAATAAAAAATGTTGTTCATAATGAATTTAATTAAAGTTCAGAATCTTTAATTAAAACATTATTAATACATGTCATTCCCATTTAGAATGGAACGGTGCTATCCGCACTATTAATATGGTGAGATATTGAATGAGTGTATTTCGCATAATGAGATTGTGTGGAACAGGGACACAGACACAATATGAATTTCTAATAATTTCCGTTAAGCATAGAAATTCTAATTGAGTCTACCGATGGTCATATATAGAATGATCTTAATCCTGAGTTCTTGACAAACTTCTATTTATGAATTTGTATCTTTTGATTTACTCGGTACGGATTCTGAGACCCTGAATCCTATTCCTTGTATTTTGGAGACATGATGAAATAGGTAGCCGAGAATGTTATTATACGAGATGAAATCCATTCCTTCTTGAGAAAGAAGTAGATGAATAATTCTCTTGAGTGTTATTCGGTACTTGGATTAGTAAGAGCGTTCTGGTTCATGAATGTGTTTTATGAATCACTATCCATTAGAGAATCAATGATACTCAAGGATGAAGATATAATTAGAGAGGTTAACGGATTCTACCTGGGTCTAATTATGAGTTATTTATGGAGGACTGATCTATATGCAATGACTATATCAAATGGACACTTCACAGTTTAGAAGTAATTAATGTCTATAATTTCAAGAATTCAATTCCAAGTTTATAGTGGAGTAACTATTAAAATTAATAGAATTAATTAATTAATTAAAGTGTTTAATTAATTATTAATTTTATTAGAGCTCAGGATTATAGGTCCATTAGTCCCCGCGTCGTCTTTGTAATTCTACTAGACACAAAGGGCAAAATAGGAATTTTAGAATTATGGAATTCTAAAATTAAATACTCGAAAATAATTAATTGAGAATTAATTATTATTTAAATAATGTGATTATTTAAATTTGAATTTGAGTCATGAACATAATTTAAATTTATCCTTTTTAAACTTATTTGATAAGTTGTTCAATTTAGAATTCAAATTAATTTAAGTTTGACTTAAATTCGAATTTGAATTTGAATTAAAATTGGACTACAGGATAAATGATGATTTTCTCTTCCTTTCCTATCTGAATTGGCGCCACACACAGGGATAAGAAACCCTACACTTGGCCGGCCACAATAGGGATAAGGGAGAGGAGATTTTTTGTTCAAAATTCAAATAGAAGATAGAGATTTGATTCCTTCTAGAAGTTTGACTTCTACTCTATAAATAAGATATGAAAAAAAATTGTGCGTGACAATTTTTTTAACCTAATTCTTAAGGGGGCTGGCCGAATTCCCAAAAATAGAGAGAAGGAAAAAATTTTCTACCAAAAAAATTCCACATCGTGCATGCGTTGGTGTTTGTGGACAATTTGAGTGTTTGATCTAACCCGTTTTAGTCTCGAGTGTGCCCATACACATGTCTACGTAGATTCAAGGAATTAACGTGGAAGACTTTGGTTTTCTAAACACAAGGTTTTGGAGCAATGATCGTTTGAGGTCAAAGAACTCAAGTTATCAACCGAGTCGGCCTCTAGGTATTTTTCCTAATCGAGTTCTTAATATATAAATTAATATGATTAATTTATTCATGCATAAATTAATATAATCTATAGAGTATCTCAAAAGTTTTGTAAAAATTATTGTTATACTTGATCCACCTCCACCACGCTTCCGCATCCGAATTTGATTCGGTAACCAACAATTGGTATCAGAGCATTCTATAGACGATATTAATTTATGGTTCGATTATTTGATAATCAAAATTAATATATTAAATATGTGATATTTAATTATGTATGTATGTGATGGGTAGACACTTGCATTTATGGATGTTTATTTTAATTCATGTTGATGAATGTACGGATGATTGATTTGGTCGTTAATTATATGGTTCCATGGATAAATTATATTCATTCATTATAAATTAATTGTAATTTAATTCAGGATTAGAATTATTGTAATTCTAGGATTTGGGTAGAATTAGAATTTTGATTTTGAATAAAAAAGAGGATTGGAAGATCAAGTTTGAAGCTAATCAACAAGGATACCCTGTTGTGTCTGTCAAAGTCAAAGATCAAAAATTGGAGTTTGAGCAGGTTTTTTCTTCTCCTTTTCTTTTATGAATTGCAGTCGCGATTCCTGTCGAGTGGTTCCCATGGGGATGGGCAATGGATTGTCCTTATCACATTATGCTGTGGCTCATATGACAAGTGCAAAAGTTTCCTATTAGAAGTAAAGTCTGAAACTCTTGATGTGAACGAATTCCTGGGTTGCTCAATATTTTTTTGAGTGAAATCTAGTGCCTTACAATTTATTATTTCTTCAACAGAAATTTTGGATGATTCATTTGCCCTTTGTATGGCTCGCCAACAGTCGTTCGTCTCCTTGCTTACCTTGATGAATGCTTACAGGGAGGAACTTGAATATACTATCCTCTCTAACTTAATTACTGTAATGCCTTGCTCTGAGTCCTATCAAGTTATTATTTGAAGTAAATCTCAGTTTTTACTTATTATTTTGGTCTGCATGTTTTGCAGATAAGTCACAAACTAGTAAGGATTGCAGCTGATGCTGTACCATAGCTGTTAGATCTCATTAAACTATTTTTTAATCGGCCTTTTCCAAAACGCTACAGAGTAAGTTCTTAATACTTGACATACTTTCAATACCTAAACGAGTATGTACCTGAGCTGTTAGATCTCATTAAACTACTACTTTCTCTGTTCTATTTATTATGCATTTCTCTGTTGACATAATCAATTAGAAGAAGGGATCATATATAGATCTTTGCTTCGTACTAGTTGCTAGTTAAATTAGAAGGAAAATTCTTTTGCAAATTCTTTTGCTTGTAATAGATGTTATTGTAAGTCAAAAATATGTTGCGCCATTTCTATCTTTCCAATTTGGCATGAATCATGCTCTGAAAGCTTCACATGGAGAGAAAAGTTAGTACATCCACATTGCTTCCATATCCTGGGGATGAACACAATCATCCCAGTATATAGAGTTCTGAAGTAAGAAAAAAATTGAACAGTTTGGAGCCAGCATCTAACCTATTTGAGTTATGTTTGGCAAGTACTATTTGTATGTATGTTGTGTTTCTGGAAATTATAATGGATCACTTTCTTACAGGTTAAACAATGGAGATGACTTTTTTGTTCAAGCATTTTGTCAAGGTAGAAGGATTTACTTCACCACTGCACTAGTTAGACGTTTTGGAGATGACTTCTCTGTTTTCTTTACTTGTTTTGAATGTTAAGGTTTTGGATATTGTATGAATTATGTTGTAGACGTAATTTTATTGCCAGCTTGGTAGATACTAATAACAATTGATATGTTAAATGTTTTTATGTTTTAATTTGAATGTTCCTATTTAGATATATCACATATCTCGGAATTACCATTTATTTCAATGAATTCAAAAAGATATCAATAATAATTTTAAAAAGTTACAACAATATGAACATAACAAGGAAAAAAGTTATTAATCTGTATCGTAGCCATGCTAAAGAGCTATAAGAGGATGAAAATAACTTGTCTTAAATGCTATAATACTTCAATTCTATAGCGCTTTCTATAACTCTCTTGAAACGCTATGTTTTCTTAGGACCTATTATAGCGCTCGCTGTTCTAGCGCTCTAAAAAGTGCTATTGCTAGTGATTAATAGCATTTTTAGTTTGCTATTGATGTTGATATTTCTTGTAGTGCCCCTTTCCTATTTTGCTCTTTTCTTCTTTTTCTCTCTTTTTTTTTAACAATGAAATCCATTTGACACATAGTCAAAGAAAAATCATATGTGGGTTGCCTACCATGAAGTGCTACGTTTAAAGTCCTTAGCTAGACATAGTACCTCATGCTTCAAATGTCCTTAACGAGCTTGAGACTCGTAATCTTCTCCACCTCGCCTCCAAAATAGTGTTTAAGGCGTTGTCTGTTCACTTTGAAGGAAGGTTCATCTCCTCTTTGTATCTCAACAGCGCCGAATGGAAAGACTTGCGTAATCGTGAATGGACCGGACCATCGAGATTTGAGCTTTCCAGGAAAGAGAGTAAGGCGAGAGTGACCGGACCACTAAGATTTGAGCTTTCCGGGAAAGAGTGTAAGGTGAGAGTTGAATAGAAGTACCTTCTCTCCTAGAATGAAGTCGAGGCGGAGGATCCTCTTATCATGCCATTGCTTTGTGCGCTCATTGTAAATCCTCACATTCTCATACGCCTCATTACGAATCTCCTCCAATTCATTGAGTTGAATGAGTCTTTTCTCTCCCGAGGCCTTCAAATCAAAGTTGAGCTTCTTAATGGCCCAATTCGGCTGGTGTTCAAGCTCAAAAGGTAGATGACACGCCTTCCCAAACACCAACCGGTATAGAGACATGTGGATAGGTGTCTTGAAAGCCGTCCTATACGCCGATAAAGCGTCGTAGAGCTTGTTGGACCAATCCTTCCGATTTGATTGCACAATCTTCTCCATGATAAGCTTGATCTCCCGATTGGAAATCTCCGCTTGGCCATTGGATTGAGGATGGTAAGAAAGGGCCATCTTGTGCCACACTCCGTACTTGGCCATGAGTGCATCAAACACCATGTTGGCAGAGTGAGTGCCTTCATCACTAAGTATAGCTCTAGGTGTGCCAAAACGTGAGAAAATGTTCTTTTGAATAAACTTGACAAACACCCAAGCATCATTTGTAGGAGTTGCAATGGCCTCAAACTACTTAGTCACATAGTCAACCGCCAAGAGGATATAGAGATTACCAAAGGAAAGCGGGAATGGTTCCATGAAGTCGATCCCCCACACATCAAATATCTCAACCTCCAATATATTGGTGAGGGGTAGCTCATGTCACCTCAAGATGTTGCCCACACATTTTCACAGGTCACAGTGTTTGACGAATTCATGACAATCCCGGTGCAAAATAGGCCAATAGAACCCACTCTCAAGAACCTTAGCAGCGGTTTGTGCAACTCCAAAGTGCCCACCGACGGGGGATGAATGGCAATGAAACAAGATATCTGGGTCTCCTTTTCTGGCACACACCTCCGAATGGCTTGATCGGCGCATCGTTCGAAAAGAATGGGGTCATCCCAAATGTAGTGCTTCACATCATGCATGAACTTCTTTTTTGGTTGAGAGGTCAAACCCGGTGGCAAAGCTTTACACACAAGATAATTGACAAAATTAACATACCACGGGAGCTTTGCCTCAACTGCGCACAATTTCTCATCCGGGAAAGACTCTAGAATGAAAGAAGCTCCTTGTTCATCAACAACCCCTTCAAGGCGAGATAGATGGTCGGCTACCACATTTTCAATGCCTCGCTTGTCCCGGATCTCCAAATCGAACTCTTGTAGCAGTAAGACCCATCTGATCAATCAGAGTTTCGCATCTTTCTTCTCAAACAAGTACCGGATGGCCGCATGGTCCGTAAATACAATAACCTTGGACCCAATGATGTAAGGCCGGAACTTGTCGCATGAGTAGACCACCGCAACCATCTCCTTCTCAGTTGTTATGTAATTCTCTTGGACCTCATTGAGAGTACAGCTTGAATAGCAGATTGCCCGAAAAAAATTTTCCTTCCGTTGGCGAAGTACGGCTCCAATAGCATAGTCACTAGCGTCGCACATGATCTGGAGGGGTTCACTCCAATTGGGAACGATGAGGATAGGGGTCGCTATGAGCTTTTCCTTAAGCATATTGAAGGCTGTGAGGCAAGAGTCATAAAAAAGAAATGCCACGTAAATCACAAAGTGGCTTGGCGATCTTAGAAAAATCTTTAATGAATCGCCGGTAAAATCCTGCATGGCCAAGAAAACTTCGAATTCGCTTCACATTTGTTGGTGGTGGTAAATTCTCAATTATGACAATCTTGGCTCGATCCACTTCCAAACCTAGCGATGAGACTCGGTGACCAAGGACAATCCCCTCCTTCACCATGAAGTGGCACTTCTCCCAATTAAACAGAAGGTTTGTCTCTACACATCTTTGAAGCACCATCCCAAGATTGTGCAAACAATAATCAAAAGATGAACCAAAGACCGAGAAGTAGTCCATAAATACCTCCATAATATTCTCCACCATGTCAGCAAAGATGGCCATCGTGCACCGTTGGAGGTAGCTGGCGCATTGCACAACCCAAAAGGCATCCAGCGAAAGGCGAATGTACCATATGGACAAGTGAATGTTGTCTTCTTCTGGTCCTCCGGGGCAATGACAATTTGGTTATAGCCTGAATAGCCATCAAGGAAGCAATAATACTTGTGCCCCGCCAATCGATCTTGCATTTGATCAATGAAGGGCAAAGGAAAATGGTCTTTTCGGGTGGCCTTGTTGAGCTTCCTATAATCAATACACACTCGCCACCCCGTTACCATGCAAGTTGGAATGAGCTCATTTTTCTCATTCTTAACTACCGTCATGCCACCCTTCTTTGGCACCACTTGCACCGGACTCACCCATGAGCTATCAAAAATGGCATATATAATACCGGCATTTACTAGCTTCAACACCTCCGCTCTCACAACCTCCTTCATTGCGGGATTAAGTCTCTATTGGTGTTCAATAGAAGGCTTGTAAGGGTCCTCCATGAAGATCTTATGCATACAAATGGCCGGACTAATACCCTTAATGTTAGAAATTGACCAAGCAAAAGCGGATGAGTACCTTTTTAGCACGTTGATCAACTTCCGCTCGTCCTCCGCACATTGATCAACCGGCTTAGTGGAGTCATCACCCAAGAATATGTAACAAAGATGGTCAGGCAATTGCTTCAAAACTAGCCCGTCACTAGTGGTGGTTTTCAATTCTGAGCCTTTATAAAGTGTGAGCACCTTAAGTACATCCTCTTCCTTTAGATTAACCTTCTCCTCCAGTAGCGCCTCTAGAGCATAGACACTATCAATCACATCCACTTCACGCGCAGCAAACTCCACCCCGAGATCCCCTTTAGAGAGCGGTATTGAAAGACATCTCTCCAAAGGGTCCTTATAAATAATGGTCTGCAAGAAGTCCTTTAGGAACAGGGTCACCACATCCACCCGGTTACAACTTGGTCGCTCTTCCAAAAATTTCATGGCGTTACTAATGTTGAACTTTACCTCTTCACTGTTCACCCGAAGTGTCAAGTTACCATCATGGACATCAATCAAAGCCTTCCCGGTAGCAAGAAAAGGTCAGCCCAGAATAATAGGAATTTCTTGGTCCTCTTCCATGTCTAACACCACAAAGTCAACCGGAAAAATGAATTTATCAATTTTAACTAAGACATCCTCGATAATACCTTTAGGGTAGGTGAGAGAGCGGTCCGCCAATTGTAGTGAGATGGTGGTAGGAGTGATCTCTCCAAGGTTAAGTTTCTAGAAGATAGAGAGGGGCATGAGATTGATGCTAGCCCCAAGATCACACAAGGCCTTTTCAATATGAAGTTCTCCAATGATGCATGGGATGGTAAAACTACCCGGATCCTTTAATTTCTCTGGTAGTTGTCTCTTTATGATAGTGCTACATTCTTCCGTAAGCTTCACTGTCTCATAGTCCTTGAGTTTGTGCTTCTTCGACATAACCTCCTTCATAAATTTGGCATAGTTTGGCATTTACTCGAGAGCGTCCACGAAGGGGATGTTGATGTGGATCCTCTTGAAGATATTGAGAAATTTCTCAAATTGCTCGTCAAGCGCCTTCTTCTAGAACCGTTGAGGGAATGGCAATGGGGGAGTGATATGAGGTGGATTATCCAGAAAAGTGATCGAACCCGGTCTAACCACCGGCGCTTCCTTCTTGGCCTTCAGGTTTTCCTCCATTGACTTATCGTTACTATTGTCGCTGCTCTTGGTAGGCTTCTCATCAACCATGGCTTTTGGAACTCTAGGGCCTTCAAGCTCTTTGCCACTCCTCAATGTGATGGCCTTACACTCCTTTGGGTTCTTCTTGGTGTCGCTCGGGAAGGACCGTGATGATTGCCCTTTTATAGCGTTAGCCAATTGGCCAACTTGTGTTTCTAGTGCCTTCATAGTGCCCCCCAAATTGGTGCAGTGAGTTTCAATGTTGTTGAGACGTGTGTCATGTTGATCAAGACGAGCCTTAGAGTCCACAATATACGTCTTCGAAAGCTCTTCAAGTGATGAGAGGGCTTTTCCATTGCCGGTTTACTCGACTCTAGCGTCGGTTGTAAAGCATTCCGGTTGTTGGCCCAAGAAAAATTCTCATGGTTGCAGAGCCCAGGATGATAGTATGCCGGTAAGTTGTTATTGGGCCTAAAGTTGTAGTTACGGTTGATGAAGTGACATTGCTCATCATATGAATCACTTGAGTTCGAAGCTTATGCCATCTTTACCGCTTCTTGTTTACCATTTGCATTGGCTGGGGTAAGACCTTGGATTTGATTAGTCAAGAGCGCCATTCGAGCCATGAGAGACGTCATTTGATCCACATCATAAATTCTTGCTACTCTCTTCACCATCGACCGCTCGTTTTGCCATTGATAACTATTCATTACCATGTCCTCAAAGAGATTGAGTGCATCCCCGGGTGTCTTTAACAAGATGGTTCGACCGGCCGCTGCATCAATATGGGCCTTTGTTTGCCCAGTAAGCCCATTGTAGAAAAGTTGCCCTTGGAACCAATCCTCAATACCATGTGGAGGACACTTTTAGAGCATCTCCTTCAATCGTTCCCACACCTCATATAATTGTTCATACTCAAATTGCCAAAATTGAGTGATGTTGGCCCTCAATTGAGACGTCTTGGATGGCGGGAAGAATTTGATGAAGAACTTTTGGGTCATGTCCTCCCATACAGCTACACTCCCTGATGGTAAAGATTGAAACCATGCCCGAGCCTGGTCCCGTAAGGAGAATGGGAAGAGTTTCAAACGGATGATCTCGGTTCTCACCCCATTAATCTTGACTGTGTCACAAATCTCCAGAAAAGTAGCCAAGTGGATATTGGGATCCTCATGCGGCAAGCCTCCATATTGGTTCTGTTGAACCATATTGATGAGGACCGGCTTGAGCTCAAAGTTGTTGTCATTGATTTGTTAACGTTGGATGCCCGAATAGTTCTCATTCACCACAGGCTTGAAATAATCTCTCAACGTCTGTTGCTGGTCTAATTGGTTTTGTTCCTCGGCCATGTTTTTAGCACTCACTTGTTGTTTTCTCCTCAAAGCCTGAATAGTTCGTTCGATTTCTGAATCCAAAGACAAGTGTTCCAAGCCACGTGTTTTTTGCTTGCACCTACGAACACAACCAAAGAAATGATTTTTTAAAAAGAATAAATAAATAAATACAAATAAAAAAAAACTTAGATTAAAACAAGATATTGCTTCACTATAGTAATCTAAATCTTAGCCGTTCAATCCTTGGCAATGGCGTCAAAAACTTGTTGCAAAAATTTGACTATGCTTGCAAGTGCACAAGTCATACAAGTAATAAAGTGGTCCGAAGACCGATATCATCCCACGAGGATTGATGTTAAGAATGTAAACTAACTATTGCGAATATCATATCTTAACTTTATCTACTGCCTAGACCGTAGCCTCTCAGCACCTTTTGGACTGTTCACTCGCCCACTTTGTTCACTATTGCGGCTCTGTGGATCCTCTATGATTTTCATTGGTCCATTCTAGGTGGTGTATGGGCAGGTAATCATTTCTTGTGCTACTGATCGTCTCTAAACCCAGAAGTAACCTAGGGATTTCTCCCTAGTCACCTCAGAGGTCATTCTTGGGACGTGGATCCAAACTCATGCGTTCTGCCCTCTGTGTCTATATTATATTTCACAAGGCGCGGCCTCCGTCCCGGTTGATCCCCTCACGGTACCACTGGCCTGCGGAGAACAAATCATGCAGGCCTTGACTATGTGTAGGGTCGATGGTTGCATGAATTGTCTCATACGATCGGCCTTTTCACTGGATGGCGGAGAGAGAAATGAGCTTTAGGCGTTGACCGCTGTCTGATGTGGGGGGTTAGGGCCACGTAGAGCATGGTCGTCATCCGACGTGTCAAAACATATTTTTTCACACAATAATCATCATCATCAATGTCAAGCAAAAGCTAAAGTCCCTAAATCAAAATTAACACCTTTCTGGACAACCAATAAAAAGGTTGTCTTTTCATCCTGAAGAGTTGTAAACGTATTAAAACATTCAACACTTTGTGTTCGTAGCGGTGGGGGCTCTACTGAAAAGCACGCAACGGCACAATCAATGGGTCGACCCCTTAGGGAAATCGTCAAGTGGGTATGGACGAACAGAAAGACTTAACAAGCTGATTAACATAATATTAGGGAAATCGTCACAAAATTAAATCCACCATCCTTCAATATCATTTTCTAAATATACGAAATGACACGTGATATGAATAACTTCTAATTACAAGGAAAAGTGAAGATAGTGACGTAGAAATTAAAGCAATCGTCAGTACTACCACACTTACCAGTAACTAATGTTTTCAAAAACCCCTTTAGCAACATAGAAATGATAAGGGTGACATGACGTGTAGTCACCGTAATTACAAATGTTATAATGATGTAACACAATGATATTTAGTCATCACTGATTTTTAAAACAGCTTTATAATATTATGGTTATTACATTGAATAAATGTTAGTTTACCCTTCTTATAGAGAAGCATGTGTTCCTCTCGGTGAGGACATATACACGATTGACGAGGTCAGAAAATTAAGTGAGAAATGACAAACATAAGTATTTCGAAGGGCGTAGACATATAATTTTAAATTTTTTAGGGGACAAACTATTAATTTAATAGAATATTCATATAAAATTAAAAAGAAAAAATAGGTGGGGTGGTCGTCTAAATTCGGGGCGTAGCCATTTATCCAATATTTATATATTATTGAAAACCAATTAACACATCCCCACACACCCTTCAGAGTCCAAGGTTAGAAAGAAACTCAGAAAAACCACTATTATCACAATATGATGACTACTAGTCAAATCTTCTTATTCATCTTCCTTGTTCTCGAAACTTTTTTCACAACCATTTTAACGTTTGATAATAACCATAAAGATGACAAAAATCACTTAGCCATCGTTCACATCACCAATTCTTTGCCAAACAAGATCAACTCAAACCCAATCATGAAGATCCAATGCAGTTCCAAACACACAAATATTGGTGCCAAAGAACTCAAAAGAAGTGATTATCTCGAGTGGATCGTTGAAGAAAAAGCTTTGTATTTTTGTGAAGCTCTTTGGGGAATATTGATTGCTTCTTGGCATGCGTTTCAGCCAAAGAGAGACGTGGGACACAGATCAGTTTTCTGGGTTGCCAAACAGAATGGATTTTTTCATAGCTGGGATAACTCCACTTGGGTAAGAAAGTCCGTATGGGAGACTGAGTGAAAATTATTTTTACTTAATGTTATATGTAAATTAAAGTGTTTCAGTACGTTTATTTTTTTTGGCGTTACCTTTTTTTTCATCTTGAAATAATGATCTTAGTGGGCACATCTGACTTTATGTTTTCTTTAAGGCACTTAATTTTCATCGCTCGGATTATAACATTTCATAATG